TTACCCCCCGGACAATTACCCCCCGGACAATAGCAATGTTTCATGTTTATTCAAACATTGACGTCATATGCGCACATGCGCAGTTTAACGGTTGGCAGCAAGCAGATGCCTGATATTGTTCGATACAAGCACACGCACGCACGCACACACGCACGCACACATGCACACACGTGTACCTGCACACGCACACACGCACGCACGCACGCATGTCCGGGGGGTAAATGTCCGGGGGGTAATTGTCCGGGGGGTAATTGTCCGGGGGGTAAATGTCCGAGGGGGTGATTGTCCGGGGGGTAAATGTCCGGGGGTAAATGTCCGGGGGTAATTGTCCGGGGGGTGATTGTCCGGGGGGTAAATGGCATGGGGGGGTAATTGTCCAGGGGGTAATTGTCCGGGGGTAATTGTCCGGGGGGTGATTGTCCGAGGGGTATTTGTCCTGATACCACCAAGATGCAATTTAAATTTTAATGCAGGAGCAGCGTCGCCTATAGTAACTTCATTAATGTGAGTCCCGGCACAACAGAGGATGTGGTAGAAGGACTGGTGCCAGCCACGATGTACATGTTTAGGATTGGGGGAGGTGATGAACTCGGCCCAGGACCACCTAGCAATATACTAACAGCAAAGACCTTCCAAGCCGGTACAGTGCTCTTAATCACACACCTTTTTTTAAGGAAACGAGCATACATATAGACAGCTTTGCAAACTATCCTAACTCAACTCGCTTCTGGTTGTTAGTATTTTGTAAAGTCTATATGATGACTATCAATGATATATACATTTAAGAAAACACATTCTAATGACAATGTTTACAACCTGTGACAATGAAAATTGTGAAAGTAGTTCGTAATCACCTAAGACCAAACCTCGCATCGTTGAGAAAGAATTGCACTTGAACAGTTACAATACCAAACCTGTTGTATTTTATCTAGGGGCAAAAGCTCCCAGAAGTTTTCAAGTCCTGGGTGTCAGTGCTCAATCTGTCACTCTTAGTTGGGAGTTGCCTGAGCAAACCAGCCGACCCATCAATTTCTATAGGCTGCTATACAAGAAAGCTAATGATAAGGGTATGATTCCTGTTCTTCTGTTGGCTAGAGAAGTGTTTTACAGTACAGTAAAACTAGCTAGAATAGTGTTCTAGAGTAAAGTAGTGTAATGTAGTGTCCCGAGTGATGATTACATAGTCGTTTAGGACACTACTATAGTTGGAATCGCTGTCCCACAGTATCATGCCTTCTGAGACTAATGGTGTGTCTGGCAGTGAGACTTGTTGTCCCACAATGTGATACTTATATGAGATTAATGTTGTGTCTGGCAGTGAGACAATTGCTATCCCACAATAGATTATATCTGTATTAGTGATCTGGTGTCTTATAATTAATGGGACGAAGTGTCATAGAAAATGTTGCTGTTACAGAGTTTGATTCAGATGATAGGAATTACGCAGTGTGTGAGAATGCTCATAGTGGAATTAATGATGTGATGTTCAAAAGTAAAACATACTGACATAGTTATTAATTGAGAGTTTCATAAGGTGTTTAAATCTAAACATTTAGTGCTGTTCTTGCAGTGTTCTCGGGACAGGAGATAGAGTCCGATGGCAGACCGAGACAAGTGTTCAACTTGACGGGTCTCGCACCTTTCACGACCTACATCATCAAAGTTCAGGCAGCTCTCATTGAGAACCACTATAAGCTGTGGGGTAACACTAGTGACATGGTTGATGTACACACCATGCCTGCAGGTACACCATGAAGTATAGTTACACCGAGATATATAGAAATGGATTATAATAAACTATAGGTTGCAGTGTTCGCTTTTAAACTTGTGCGAGTCATGTTTTCACATTTTAATTCATATCAGGAACGATAATATGTCTTGTTTACATGCACTAGTATTGTATTTATGAGCTCATCTGACGTAGTCAGGTGCAGCTTGTAGAATCGCATGATCGTCCGTGCGTCCGGCCGTCTGGCCGTCCGTGCGTGCGTCCGTCCGTCAACAGTTGGGCACAAATCTTAACCGCTCGACTTACGGTCACGATATTTGGCACATTGGGGGGGGGGGGGATCGTCAAAACGAGTTGGGATGTCGAAGCTGGGGGGTCAAAGGTCAAAGGTCAAGAGGTGTAAAAGAAGGGGGAACATTCACTCCTTAACTTAAGGTATAGGGAGGAAATGCAGAATTAGACGTAGAGATAGAGAAATAGAAATAGAGAAATGCAGATGCTCGACCTAGGCTCGTGATAGTCGGTGTATAGCATCATGGTAGGAAAAGCCATCACTGTGCCGAAATTGGAGGTCACAGGTCAAAGGTCAATGGGCACAGGGCAGATTTTAGACATTTTCTGAGGACATGGTCTGACGGAGCGATTGAAAAACTTTTTTGTTTCAGCGGTGACCTAGCATTTTTATGGGATTATTGAAAGGACCATGAAATCTACTTTCTGCTGACATGCGAAGAGTAAGTGTCAGATAACCTTTTGACCCTCAAGAGGTGGGTTAAACATGGATTTGTTGACTGTCTGTTAGAAAGAATTTGACTGCCGGGTTGGCTAGTAGAATCTATACATGCCTGGATGTATGAGGCTACAATGTCACAGTGAAATTTTAAAAGCTAAATTTGGTTAAAGAAGGTTTATGCTCCTTAAATCGTATAATTTCTATGGCATTCTGTACTGTCAGTATGTTACATGTAACGTATGCCACTGTCAGTGGCTACTGCCAGTGCATGTGTTGGTGGTACTGTGTAGTTTTTGCCTGCGTTAATTGGTTACAGGTGGCAGCTCTCTATTGCAGCCTGTAGGCTTGCGTATTTAAATGGATGAGTGCTTACCTATTCTGTCTTGCAAATAGTTGTTGCTACTACGTACGATGGGAGCTTCCATCTTTAATCTGAAGACACTTAAACGTACGCGCCATCTCGTGGCAACTTTCATAATGATCCCAACGAACATTCCTTTGAGAAGGTTCCTGATACCATCCCTGTGCATTCCACTGATTCGGCGTGTATGTGAACAAATTTTGGACTAACAGGGTTTACTAGAATCCCACCACTCAATCACAGAGTCACCGCAGTAGACGTTAGATGAGCGCTGTCGCTCCGCGGCACTTGTTGTAGAATGACTTACTATTAGTTTGTTCATGTTTAATTATTTTTCTTTCTTTCTGTTTATCATAACATTTTCACTCTTAAAAATGGTTATAGTGTGCTTTGAACATGTCTTACCCTTTCAAAAGTTTATTTGCCATGAAATAGATGTTAAATGGTTACTGCTTCAATCAATGGTGCAAATTAAGCCTATATGTGCTATTTCATTCATATTTTGCGAACGCTATATATAGTTACAAGCTATAGTAGGTTTATTTAATGCAATTTGTCCCACATATTTATACTTCATTATTTCATGCACTGTGTGTAGTGGATAACATGCAAACCACGTTTTATTAATATTTCAGCTCCTTCCTCACCTCCTTCAAACATTACAGTAGAGGTGCTGTCATCTAATGTGCTGAATGTTAAATGGAGTGAGATTCCTCATGGTGATCACAATGGTCCAATCAAAGGATATGTTGTCGCTTACAAGAGCATGGCTAATCTGTATGAGCTGCAGCAAGAATTGTCAACCGATGAAATGGAGCTTAACATCACAGGTAGCAGAATGACAGCTTCACTCACGTACATCTTGTTAAATCATGAATATATAGTCCAGTCACTAATACAGCATGCTTCGATTACTAGACGATCTGCAGCCGGATATACGCGCGAAGCGCGAACAGCGCCGCCTCGCGGCGCCTTTTGATCGAATTCGCTGCCCTCTATTTAGAAACATACCCGAGGCCCTCTGGGTACTACAGAAAGCCGCATAATCGGTCAATTGAGGAGTTGTGGCGATTGCAGAATTCGTTCGACTTTGCACGTAGGGCGAGAATAAATCCAAATGCTCGTTTTTGTTGGTGTGTGGCTCGGCGCGCGTCCTTTTCGTGTAGGAAAATAATTTTCCCTTTTTGCTGGTTCATGCCCTGACATTAATTTGGAAGTTATCGCGACCCATAGATGGCGCAACGAGTCCATCTACGTACCATTTTCAAGTAAAAAAAAACAAAAACGCTTGGCTCGATGACCTAGACTGCCGCGCGGTGCACAGTTCGACACGCTAGCGTAACTCACTTCAGTGTAGCCAACGATAGTTGGCTGAGTGAAGGTCGGTAGCCGTCTAGCCCTTCAATCGTCATTACCGCTCCGACTTCCCGTATCCATCTTAACGCACCAATGTGATGTTCTGATGTTTTCCATTATGATTATCACGATG